TGGATCTTAGGGTAGCTCTATTTTCAACTTTTTGAGGAACCTCCATACTGTTTTCCAGAGTGGCTGCACCAGCTTGCATTCCCACCAACAGTGTAGTTCACCCTCAGTTTTGATTTTACTCTAGCACAGTGCCATCTTATAAGCCATTTACTACTCCTAAAGACAAACTTCTCCTTTTTCTAGGGCATGTCTGTATGTTTGTCCTTATGGGGCTTTCATTCCTTTGTACTCTCCTGTCCCTTTCTTAAATATTCTTCCAAAACCTGTCCTACCAAAATACCCTCCTTTTCTTTTCTGGCCCACTTTGAGTACCGGCCCCTTGGCCCAAGTTCTCCCTGGCTATCCCCAGCGCCCCCTACATTGTAGCACTTTGTGTCGCTTGTCATTTATGATCTGAAATTCTCAGGTGAATATTCAGATTTCGCCAGAAATTAATGATCATGCCCTGACTGCCAGGTGCTATGCTGGGCACTTTCCACATACTCTGTCTCTTTTACTCTCCATATCAGCCCTTCGGAGTGCCCATTTTACAGATGAGAACACGGAGGTCCAGTGAGTCAGACACTTTGCTCGGGGTCACACATGCTCTTTCCAGTCTCCTGCAGCCGTGAGTTACGGCAAAGGTTGTGGTTCAGGTTCTGGGGTTGAAGATAATCGTGCACCAGCGTCGGGAGGAAGTGGACTAGCCTTGGAAGACAGGCAGTGGGGGATGATGGGTCAGGGTGTGGAAGAAATCCCTGCAGCTCATGGGCCTGAACAGCTGTAGCAGGAAGCTGGCAGAGACCTGCGCAGGGAGGGCACAGTCAGAGCTGAGCAGGGGGAGACTGCAGCTCCAGGCCTTCACAGGTGTTCTCTTCCTTCCACGAGGCCTTGGGGAAGATATTGAAGCTTCTGGATTTGACCCTGAGCTAGGCTCTCCTGTTCCCCTTCTGACGAGGGTGAGGGTGGGATTCTCACACATCCAAGAGCTCCAACTGTGCCTCCACCTCAGTCTGCTCTGCCCTCCCCCTCCCAAAGCCTCTCACCTGACAGGTGGTTTTGTCTGTAGGCTAGAGCTCTGCAGGTAGGAAGTTGCCACATAGGTCAGTTTTGCCGCCCCCGTACTAACAGAAGGGCCACAGAATTTGCATAGGATTCTCAGTGCTCCTTCTCCCTCCTTATTTACCCGTGTTTCCTTGTTATGATTTCAGATGCATCATTAGGTAGTGTGTGGGGTAACTTTTCTCTGTATTTGCTTATAGATATTAAAGCTTCGATGTTTGCTTAGGGTTGCACAATTTTCCATTTTTTGAGTGTGAAGACTCTTCTGTGCCTTGGTTCCTTTTGTGTTTCTCCTCTCCCTGCCCCAGGCTCCTTCCCTCCTTCCGTTACCCTTCCCCCCCTTCCCTCCCTGCTCCTCTCCCCTGCACCCCACCCCAATTCTATTTCTTTTCTTTGAACAGGAGTTCCTTCAGGTTACTTATCATCTCCAAGATTTGAATTTGTCGTCTTTAGAATGGGCTTCATAGTATCGCTCACCTGACCACCAAACGAGTTAGGCAAGGGAGCATGCACAGAGCCTTGCACACAGTAGCTGGACAGTGAATGTTCGAGTTCTTTCTTCCTCTTCATTGTTCCGTCCACATTAGGCACTGTCTACTCTAACTGGTGGAACCCTCTGGGCTCAGGGTGCCAATCAGCCGTCAGGGGAGCGGGACAGGACCTTGGGAAGGTAGGGTATGGATGCCTCCATCATTTCTTTTGATCATTGAGCATGATTCTGTAGAGACACCATGTAAAACGGGATGGACTTAAAGCTCCTTTCTGTGTGCCTTAAGCTCTTTAGACAGACATCTATAGAAATAGACATTTGTGATGTTTCTAATTTGCAGCAACTTTATAGACTACCCTGAACCGAAAGTAATGCAAGGGTCTCCAAATGTGGCTAGTAACCCCTCATTTGTGTATTGAGGGGTCAAGGCTTCCTTGCATCAGGTCAAGGAAAAAGGCAGACACGAGGACCCTGGAGCCCCTTCTGACCCGGGCTGTTTGGGGGGGCTCGGGCTATCTGGCAGCTGACCTCTTTCTTCAGCACCTTCTCTGTGCGAGGCTAATTCTGGAGGCTCATTTCCCCAGGCTGGAAGCAGGGGCTGGCCAAGGGGCCCTGTGGTCAGGGATTATTGCTCCCAGCAGCAAGTGTTTAATGGTTTTCATTTACTTGTATTTGGAAGAGGAAAGGCTGAGACTTCCTTACAATAGAGGCAGAGAAACAACGTGACTACTTGGCCCATTTTACGGTCAAGAGGGAAACCAGAGCTCTCTCAGGGCACGCCCATCTTGAAATGGCTCTGTGCCCAAACAAGGGAGGCTTTCCTAAGTGCGTCTTGCGTCTTAAGTCAGAGCGCCCTGTGAGGTGGTGGCTGGCTTGTGAAGCTGGGCTCGCAGCTGGTGTGACCGCGGGCATCACTGTAATGTAGCACCAGCTACTTACCGCTCTGTGGTCACGTTGGCACTGGCATCTGCTGGGATTCTTTAGTCAAATGCTACTTTGAAAATCAGCAGTATGGTAGATGAGAAATATATAAGGATATAGAAGTACTGAAGGATCGATCTCCTTTCCTCCCTTGAAGAGAGTTTATACGTCTCTTTTCTAACATCGGTAGGCTCTTTGTGCAAATCCATCTGGTATCCATCAAAAAGAAACCCTCACATTTTAAAAGTTGAGTTTCTAAAGGCCACAGTCATGATTATAACCCAATAAAAACTAGAAATAAGTAAGACTAAGGGCATCTGGATGGGCTCAGTTCGTTAAGTGTCTCACTCTTGATTTCAGCTCAGGTCTTGATCTCAGGGTCATGAGTTTGAGCCCTGCTTTGGGCTCCATGTTGGGTGTGGAGCCTACTTTAAAAAAAAAAAAAAAGAAGGCTAACTTCCTGCCCTTCAATCTTGACTATTTTGAAATTAAAAATGCATTCCTGGATAATTAACCCTATTAAGGAGGGAATCAAAAGGGGGATTTCTGTCTCAAAAGAAATGAAAAGGAGAACACTTTATACCAAACCTATGTGCCGTAGCGAAAGAGACATCCAGAGGAAAGTATGTAGCCTGAAATAGCTTCATTATTAAAGGAGGTGGAAAATAAAGATGATTTTAAGAAGTTTGGAAAAAGTACAACAGATTAAGCCAAGAGGAAACAGAAAGCTAACTTTAATGAAATAGAAAATAAATGGAAAACACTAGGAATATAAATTTAAGTGCTGCTCCTTGGAAAGTGCTAAACATAGAGGTTTACCACGTATCATCAGAAAGAAATGTCTGAGCAAGGATCTGCACCTTCACTCAACGGAATATGATGCGGTCATGACAGTTATTTTAAAAGCATTTGTAAGAGGATTTGAGTGAAATGTTCATGTCCAGTGAAAAGTGCAGAATCAAAAATTTCATTTATAGAATGATTATAACTATGTGAATATAATCTCCCACCTCCCTCCTGTCCCCAAGTTGTGAAGAAAATTAAGTCTGGAAAGAATACATCATCCTAGCATGGTGCGAATGAGGTGTTGATGCTCATGACAACACAAAAGGACCTTGAAAACATTGTGCTTATCTGGAAGAAGCCAGTCACCAAAAGACCATAGATCATAGGACTCCATTAATAGGAAATTTCAAGAGGCGGCAAATCTACAAAGGCAGAAAGTAAATTAGTGGTTGCCAGGGGCTGGGGCGGGGGGGGCGGTTGGGGGATTAAGGAGTGACAGCTTAAGGGTATGAGGTTTCTTTTTGGGGTGATGAAAATGTTCTAAAATTGAACGTGTGATGGTTGCATGGCACTGAATATACTAAAAACCATTGAGTTGTGCACTTTAAGTGGGTGAATGGTATGGTATGTGAACTGTATCTGAAACTGCTACCAAAAAAAAAAAAATCACAGTGGTTATCTTGGGGGATGGGACTATCAGTGATTTTTCCTTTTGTTTGTCCACTCTCTTCTGTAATTTCTAGATTTCCACGTTTTCCAGGTGTAATTCTACATTACTTGTATAAAGGAAATGGTAATCTACAAAAACACTTTAAAGGAAGAATGTTAGCTTTTGGCCTTTTAGCAGAAAAGACAGTGATGGGAAATCTGCTAGCCTACCTTCTGAGAAGGTGCGGGGAGGTCTTGTAATCCTACAATCTGGAGATGGTGGAATTGTGAGCCGCCATCCCAGACATAAAGTGGCGCGGGGCTATTCTTCTGTAAAGTCAAGGAAAATAAACCATCATTTGTCTGAGCTCTCTTGGGGGCGGGATCGCATCTCAGGGAAAAGGCGGGGCGGGGTGGGGGGGGCGCGGTCTGTGGAACCAGGGATGACGAAAGAGCCGGGTTTCCAGCGCAATATGCGAAGAGGTGTCAGCCTCGGCTATCTGAGTGCTGAATTAGAGAAAGCTGTTACTTCGGTAACTTCCTGTCATTGCCCAGCACTAGCTGGTGCTGAGAGCCGCCCTGTCCTCTCAGCCGAGCGGGGCGATCCACGGCCCTTCCCTGGCCCTTCCCTCCTTGTGACTGGTTCACATCTGCCTTTGGGCTTCGGGTGCAGCGTCAGTCTTTTCAACTGACGCTGAGATGTCATTTTAAATAGCATCCTCTGTCGTCCTTTCTGAAGATGGGAAACTCTTATGCTGGACAGCTGAAGACGACGCGCTTCGAAGAGGTCCTGCACAACTCCATCGAGGCATCCCTGCGGTCCAGCAGCCTGGTGCCCCGGCCGGTCTTCTCCCAGCTCTATCTGGAAACAGAGCCACAGCTCTCCGCCCTGGAAGGTAGGAGATACGCTGGGGTAGGTCCTGCGTCTGGTGCAACTCCTGTTGTAACAGAACAGGGAACTCGCTCCTCTCCCCTCTGTGTGGAAGAGTCTAGGAGAAAAGAATTATTAGAAAAAGAAAGGTGCACCTACCTTTTTCCTTGGCTAAGACTAAGTTTCGGCCATAAAGTTACAAGGAATGCAGTTATTCATTGGATAACAGGGGGAAGGAAGAGGGCTGCATTGGATTGTCGTGAACTGGTTGTTACTGATGCTCTCATTAGAAGGTTTGACTTTCTCACTTGGGTAAGTCAGAAATTTTAACATGCTTTGGCCCTTGGTGATATTTTTTTCTCTCTGTCCCAGGATTCATGGCCATATCTTTGCAAAATAGTCTCTAGGTGGTCTCTCTTTGTGGTCGCAGATATAAGAGCCCTCTAGAAACTTTGAAAAAAACCAAGAACAAACCCTTATGAATTGAACGTGTGCCAGGAATGAATGAATCAATTATATTCAGGCATGAGGACAACTTTAGGATTTACTTAGCTATCCAGAGAGTAAAATGGTTGTGTTTTCAATCTTTAGTGTGTCTCTTTAATAGCCATGTGTTTTTTATGTCAGAAGTAACCCCACAACAGTCCATGGAACTTTTGGTCAGTTTATGCCTTCCACTGGAAGTTCCCTGCAGACTTCACTTCGATATTGAAGGCAAAAAGTCCCGTTGTTTGAAACAAAAATAAATCAATTAAGGCATGTATGCAGTATGGCAGATCCTGTATTGGGGTAGTCAGCATGTGTGTGGGTCAGTGTGTGTGTGTGTGTGTGTGTGTGTGTTGGCAGGGTGTGGGGATGGCTGGCTGGGAGGGTTGCACATAAGGGAAAATGAGGCACAGAGCTGCTTGTGTGGAATCTGATAGTTCCTTATTCTAGCAGGGGCACACAGTTCCTTGTGTCCATCTTTGAAACATCCTTACAATGTTAACTTTACAAACAGCCACAGTAAAGACCTGAAAGAGCTGGATGAGGGTCTGGGAGAAACTGGACCATGCTCAAAAGCATGAATTAGGAAAACCAAGAATTCTCTCTACATATCGAAAGCACGTTTTCCAGCAGGGGAAGCGTCACTGCAACACAGGGAGGAGATGAGAAATGAGTGGGGCATACAGCCTGTGTTTTTGGCTAGCTGACAGACTTATGTAAAATGTATGCATTAAACAGTCAGCCTTAGCTACTTTCAGTACTGAAAGTCTTTGTTGCTAATGATAAATTAATGATGGTGACAATGATGACTTAGTCCATGTGAATGGCACTTTAAAATCTACAAAGTTCTTTCCACCTGCACCTACTAAAGTGATTAAACCCCATGATTTGGGACGCTGGGAGATGGGTTTGCTTGCAGGTTGCAGTGTTGAAGGAGTGCCCGAGTCAGGGAGTTGCACCCTTAGCTTTGGCAGCTCTGTGATAGAAAGGGGGCAGCAGGTGGTTAAGTAGGCGGGGTTGGGGGTGGTGTGGTGCTCACCTGTGGGGAGAGAGGGGGAGTGGAGAAAGCCCTGGGAGGTTCCCTGCCAGCTTTTCCTTCTGCCTAAGATCTCTGCGGACTACCTGGGAGGCTGCATCTCGAACATCCTGACTTGTTAGGATGCCTTCCCCTGCCAATAGGGCATTGGGCAGGTGGCACTTTCCGGGGACAGCTTTGAGGCATCCCCTTCTCATGCCTCCCGTGTTGAGTGCTGCAGGCACCCCGCCAGCTATTGGTGCAGCCCCCCTGTATGAAAACCAGAGCAGACCCTCCAGCTTTTCCCGTTCGTCCGCAAACAGAATAGAGAAATCCCGAGGGGCAGGAAGGACAAAGGAGGGGTCTGGTGGGAAGGGGAACACTCTCTTTTTTAGTTTGCTGGATGTCACCATGAACTGAACACACAGCTCTCCCCCTGGATTCTGTGTTATAAAACTTGGCGCCGATGGCTTGTCCTGGTCACACCTTGTTTTGTCTGTCTGTCTGCCAGGGTCTCTTACTGCTGTCCTTCCTCAGACAATTACATTAAAGATGGTTTTTATGGCCAGGCTGCTGGTATCCTAAACACCCCTGGGTCTGTTAACATCTTCCGTGTTCCCGAGCAGGGGCCTTATGACTTTGTTCCCTGGATTAGAGGTCTTACCACACCTCCTTCCAGGGGAAAAGGATTTTATGGGCTATTTACTTTTTTTTTTTAGTTTTTAGAGAAAGACCAAACAAAACAAACCCCACTCCAGCGTTTTGAGATAAGTATTAATTAATTAAACAAGATGCGGTTAATTCTTGCAGCCTCACCCTCCTCAAAATGTCATGTGGTTTCTTCTTGTGGAAAGGAAAGAAAATTTAGCTCTGCAGAGTGAAGAAGTGGGACGGCATCTCTGGGCGTCTGTGTTTTCGTGTTAAGGTTCTCAGCTTCAAATCCGGTTGGTCTTGTCTGACGCCGTGGTAATGCCCCGCCCCCCCCCCCCCGCCCCCCCCGACCTTGGCCAGCAGTCTGGTCTGGTCTGCTCCTGGCTGTAATAAGTCTCCTCACCCTCGCCACTGCCTGACTGATCCCATCAAAGGCCCTGGGATGTCTGGTGTAGACCTTTGATCTTTGAGGTCTGCTTTCTCATCCACTGGATTCTGAGCTCTTTCTTTGACTTTCTGAGGCTGAAGGACCTCCTCTTTCATTCTTTTAGAGACTCTGAATTCCTCTTCCATTTGGCTTTAGCAGAATAACTGCAGACAGGCATTCCTGTGTGCCCTCAGAGCTCCAGGGTCTCTGAGTTCTTGCTTCTTCTTACTCAGACTGTTGGGGTCTTTGCCCTTCCCTCCCAGCCTCTGGAGTCTCGGCTCCAGGAGGAGAGTGGGTGGTGCAACCAAGCACTCTGTGCCGCCCACTCCGTAGGTGGCCGCAGGACAGTCCCAGCCCCCATGGGGCCCTGTGCTGCGTAGCTGGCGCCTGGGGTCTGGGCGGGACTCTGTCACTTAGGCTAAAGCCACTCTACGCCTGCATTTAATGGCAGGAAGGAAGCATCTGAAGGAAGCTCCGGAGTTTAGCCCCACCACCTCCTTGTGTGCTTCCTGGGTAATCTTTTTATGGTCTTCCTGCCACCTTGGTGTACTCTAGGCTCAGAAAGACGAGACACCAGGGTTCTTCACTTCCCGCTCTGACCTACCCAAGGTCATGGGCATGAACTGGCTTAGAATGTTCAGTTTCTTCTGCCTCTTGTCTCATGGGCACCTTTAAAATGGTGGCCACTGTACTGATTAAATCACATCAGGAAGACTGCAACGCTGAGGGCCGTATTCCCCCACATAGACTATAGCAGCTCAAAGTGGCCCTATATAACCACCTCATTTTAAAGATGTGGGATCTGATGCACAGAGAGGTTAAGTAACTTTCCTGTGGCCACACAGACAATGGCAGGCTTGAGAACTGAAGCTTGAGTTCCCTGATTCCCAGCCCCTCTCTTTCCACTGCACACGATTCCATCACTAACCTAGAACCACTTAACCCACTGGATGGACGGAGGGTGCGAGAGCCGAGGAAGAGGAGGTAGGAGAAATGGGAACATAGAAACGAGCACTAAAACAGGAGGCAGAGAAACAAAAAAGAAGAAAAACTGTCTTCCAGCCCAGCCCATTTAAGGATGCTTGTAATGACCCTATTCCATGAAGAAGGTTGCATGCTAGTTACTAAATGACATTTAAACCTGGACAAGTTGAGAAGGATTTTGGCCAAAAATGTCTATTAAAAGGAGTTAGGATGATACTTCCATAGCCTGGGAAATTCATTTAGATGAACCCCCTTCTTGAGCAGTGCTGGGTAAACAGGGCCCGAGGGTGTATGCCCATATCAGCTGGGCATGGGTCTCCCGGGCACTGCCTCTGCACGAGCATTTTGTGGGGTGCCTGGGTCACAGAGATGAGCAAGGGCAGGGACCCCACTCTCTGGGAGCCGAGAGTTGTGGGGAACGACAAGAAGCTCTTTTACCGCCACGGTGGAGTAGGGAGCAGTGGGATTTCCACGGCCAATCCCTGGCTCTTCTGGCCAGTTCCATGTTTGCCAGGACTCCTAAAATGCGACTGCACTTAAAAAAAAAAAAAAAAAAAAGTTTCCTAAAGTCATAACATGCTTGGCCTTGTTCTGGAATGGCACTTTGTGTGTATGTGCCAGATTTGGGTGTGTTTGTATTTCTAGTCCTGTCTATGCATCCACTCTTCCCTTGGGGATAAATAGACACATAGAGTTTATATGACGGAGAGGCAGTTCACACTATATTTTGTATTCTAAGTGAAGCCGGATAGTCAATGGCAGAACATCAGCTGCAGGACATGGGCCTCACATGCACCTGGGAGCCTCCTGGCTGTGCTTCTTAGCAGGTCACCGAAGAGCTGTGGGCCAGTTATCGGGTCCCTCTCTGTAAAATGGTCTATATCTTAATCTTTGGCACCTCCCGCAGAAAGATTTTTGGAGTGCTTCATGTGCCATTCTTATCAACCAGTTATGTCTGTATTGAAGCCTCGTGCGTGAGCAGACTCGGGCAGCTCTGCTGGATGGAAAGAGAAGGAACCTGAATTTGAAGTCACGAGGCCAGGCTTGGAGCCTGAGTCCGTGACCTTGGGAAAGTCCTCTGACCTCAGCTGTCCCCTCTGAGCAGAGAGAGGCATGATGCCTGACTCCCAGCGTGTCTGTAGGGATGGGTTAATTATTAAATGGCTGAGACTTGCTGACCCCTTGCTTCTGCTTGTCTCCTCCCTCCCCTTTGCCACTTGTAGGTGGTAGCCGAGTGGACAATGAGGACGAGGAGGAAGAGGGAGAAGGGGGACTGGAGCCCAACTGTCCCCCAAATCCCTACCAGATGCACCCTCCACCTGAAGGCTGCTGTACCATGGACGGTAAGGCTGGCACCTGGGCTCCCCCGAAGCCCAGAGTCTGCAGCTGTGCACTGGTGGGTCCCCTGTGCCCCTGGCCCCTGGCTACACCACCCCGGGGACTGTCAGGCTCACCAACCCTCGGCGCTCTTTGGATAGCTCAACTTTACAAATGGATTTGGGTCCAACGGTTCATTTTTCTACATTGGTTGTTTGGAAACTAGAATATATTTCCCAGTTCGGGTCTGCTTGTGCTGACGTTTCACTCAGACTGATTAGTAAGAATAATCTTTGTCCGCGATCGTAATTTACTGTTGAAGAAGGCAGATATGTGTTCTCTCAGGAACCCTGTAGAATCAGTATGTTACTCCTGTTGCAGTGTTGAGGAACCAAGGCACAGAAATGCCAGGTGGGGGGGCACCTTGGTCTGATGATAAGAGCTCATGCTCTGCACTCAGAGAAACTTGGAGTAAACCCCTGGCTCTGTCATTTACTAGCAGGACAGACTCTCTGAATGGTGTACGTTCATCTGCCCTGTCCCCATACCAGCTGAGTGATGTCACTAGTTAGTCAGTTAATTCACTAATGATTGGGGCCCCCACTCTGGAAATATGGAGATAAAAGGTACAAGAGCTCCCAGTTTAATGGAGCTATGTAGGTAAGCAGACACTTTGCACATGACGTGGAAAGTGCCGACAGGGTGGGCTGGGCAAGCAGGGGTGCCTGGGAGCACAGGAAAGGTTCCTTACGTGGGTGGAGAGTTTAGGGAAGGCTTCCTGGAGGAGGTGGCCCGTTATCTGGGTTTTGGAGGATTAGCAGGAGTCTGGGAGAGGGTTGGGGGAAACTGGGACATTCCAGACAGAGAAACAGCATGTGCAGAGGCTCAGGAGGGTGAGAATATAGGCCATCTGGGGAGCTGCTAGCAGCTTATTTAGGTAGGGGTCTGAGGTGTGGCTGGGCAGGGCTTGGTGCAGTGGTCAGATGGGGTGTAGAGGTCCCAGGTGCCCTGTGTGTGGGCCTGGACTTGACCTTGTGCAGGATGGCGGCAGGGGAGGCAGTCAGCCCTCACCGGGGCTACTGTTCCAGGGAGAGAGAAACCGGCACAATGGCTCTTCATGAGGTAGGACTTCTAGTGTCCACATGTTAAAAGGTCACCTAATTAAAGAAGGAAACCGTGAACTGTCCAGTGGTCATGATAGTGATTTTCAAAGAATTCTCCAAGTCAGTGTAGTAAACACTCTGTCCATGGCCTATTTTCCTCCAGCTCTTCAGAAGGAAGGGCCCAGGCCATGTAGGTAGAAGGCCTGTAGGGTGCTTGACCTCAGCCTCAGGACTTTGCTTAGCTTCCCTAAGACAATGAAGGGGAACCACCCCAAGCTGAGGGGTGGACCTGGCTCCATCCCGGCCCACCTCTTAGCAGCTCTGAGCAAATCATGGAACCTCTCTGAGCCTCGATTTCCATCTCTGCAAACTGGGGGCTGAATCGCTTCCCCAGTGGTGATGCAATGAGAGCTTTTGCAGAGCTTGACCTGGTCCAGTGCCTGGTGCGCAGTGGATACTGGCTCCGGGCCTGCCAACCTCCCCGCCCTCAGGGTCCCTTCGTGGCCCTCCCCCGGGGGCAGGTGGGAGACTCTGGACACAGGTGCTGTAGATGGTGAAGCAGGTGCATGCCGGCGGGGTCTGTTCACACTGTAGAGTGTTGGCAGGAAAGCCTTGGGACCGTCAGGGTCATGTTAACTCTCATTGTCTCAGTCGGTAACTAAGGGTGGAACCGACCCAGGAGATGGGGCCGAATGTGCCCTCATCCAGGAAGACCTGGGAGAGGACCCCTCCAAATAAATCTCAGCTGTTTCTTTCCTTTTATTTCCAGATATTTTAGGGCACTTATTATCCGAATGGGAAATATATTTAAAAGCTCTAAAATACAAAATGTTCAAAAGGGTATAGAGTGCAAGCCTCCTTGATGATCACTCTCCTTGTGTCCTGGTCCCAGTCCCATCCCCAGAGACAGCCAGCATTACCAGGCTCTGGCTCTTCCTTTGTGACATTTGCCTATTCCTCATACATGTGAGAAATGCAGGGTGTAAAATATACCACGTTACTCACAATTTCTTACGGATTTATCTTGTATACATTTTAATTGACCACCACTTGTCTACCGTTTTTCCTGCTGAGTTTCACTTGTACATGAATATTATATGGTGACACGATAGTCTTCAGAGAAATTAACATGCAGCAAGTGTCCTGAGTAAATATGGTTATAATTTTATCTCTTGGAACTAATTTTAAAGTCAGCCGCACGCAGAGGTGAGGTTTGTTCCTGACAAGATCTGGAATGTCCTCCCTTTGCCCATGCAGAGCCTGGTTCTGGGGAAGCCCCTTGGCGCGCATGTGAGCCCTGTCCATTCCTCCTAGGGTTCTGCCAGGCGGGGAAGGACCTGCGTCTTGTCTCCATTTCCAGTGAGCCCATCGACGTCCCTGCAGGCTTTCTCCTCGTGGGGGCCAAGTCCCCCAGCCTGCCGGACCATCTCCTGGTGTGTGCCGTTGACAAAAGGTTCTTGCCCGATGATAATGGGCACAACGCTCTTCTTGGTAAGTCCCTTCTTTGCGGTTCCATCTGCATTTGGGGCAGGGACAAGGGAGGCCTTTGGGGGTGGAGGAGCAGGCCGCCTTTGGGGGCCTCTTCATCAGCCGGTCCTGGCTGGCCCTGTTTGTGTTTTTCAGTTGGCTATTTCTGTGTGGAATTGGAATGTAAATGAGATTTATTTTAAAATGTGACGAACTTCCTATAGAGAACCTGTCCTTTAGAATTAACTTTTTTGGATGTTTGTTCGTCACACCTTTTCTAAGTGCCTACCTGTGTCAAGAATAGGATACAGACCTGTCCTGGGTGGTTTCAGAAGCCATCAGACATGAGGTGGAGGGAGAACAGGGCCGAGTATGTGTTCCTGCTTGCAGAACAGTCATACCTTCTCCATAAAGTAGGGAGTGATTCCCACACATGCTCTTGGCTGTTCGGCAGTCTGGCCCCTTCACCAGGCCTGGTGTCTCCTTTGGAGGAGGACCAGGCAGGTGGAAGGGCCGTAATGATCCAGTCCAGATGTAGCATCAGGAACAGTCTTCACTGTGGAACATTTAAATTTCGCGCTTGAACCAGCCCCCAAAGCTGAGTAGGTACATGCACGTCAGTGGTATTTATTAAGCACAGTTTATGTCTGAGGCATCACGTAAAGGACCTGAGGGGAGGAGAGACGGAGGGGAGGACAAGAATGGAGCCACAGAAAACAAAGAAATGGTTCCTGCCTCGAGGAGATGCGGCGGTGGGTTAATGCTGGGAAGCAAGGCAGGTGAATGTGGGTTGCAGGGACACACACAGCTCTGGGACAGTGACCCGAGAGAGAAGAGGTTCAGGCCGGTGTGGGCTTATCGTCACTAGTTCTTGAAAACAAGAATAATCCCAGAAAATTCACTCCGCCCGAGAAGCTCATGGAGTCCTTCCGTCTTAGGTTTAATTTGCTCATCGAGCCCACTCAGGATGCAGCCTGCTGGTAGGACAGTGCTGGTGACTTGGTCAGCGTTTGATCTGGTGGCAGCCGGGGCTCCAGCTGAATTCCACCACTTTGTGACTGTAAAGGAATTGTGAGGGCAGTAAATCAAGGAGGTTCTGGGTCTTGAAAGGTGGAGACAAGAATCTTTCAGTGCATTGGCCGCCAGCCCCCAAACAGCTCTAGCTCCTCAGGGGGCCAGTGCAGAGGAAGTGGGGTCTTTGTTAATTGCTCGCCAAAAAGCCATCGGAGGTGGGTAACGAGGGCTGGTTGGTAATAACCGATGCTTTCTTCTTTTAAAATAACTTTATGCTCTCAGCTTGTACACTTAACACTGTTTAGGTTTCCTGCAATTAACCCTGATGGCTGCACAGGGCCGGGTGGCCCTGCAGCCCTCCCCGGGGCCTGGGCTCAGTGCTTTTTAGTGATCTATAAAATGGAAGCTGTGAAGCATCTTGGGGGAAGGAATGGCTTTAGCTCCTAATTTATAATCCCCCCCCAATCTATAATGAAGGGAATCGTGTTTTAGTGACTTTGAATCAACCGAGGGATTTTTGTCTGAGAAGATGAAAATCTAGGTGTATGTTTCCAGTTGTTGACGTAATTCATTGAAATTGGCTGACAGCTAAGACGGAAGAAAACACTGAGCTAGACTGTTCATTTTTTTCCTTTTAGTGTAAATGAGTCCTGTGTTTATTCAGCAGGCAAAGCATTGAGCGTTCATGGAATGTAGACCCCGGATGGCAGGTGGGCTTTCAGTTCAGCCCCGGGGCCGCAAAGTCAAGTCCAACCGGCTCCTTCCCTGGGGGTTTGTCACCTGGTACGAAAGCTCAGGCAGACAGGGACTCAGCTCAGAGAGCTGCAGAAATAAAGCTTAAACTACATCTCCGTGCCGCATGCTGTAGCTGGGGGGCTACGGAAGGGCGCACTGAGCCCCGGTGACGGGAAGGGTGTCTCCGAGGGTGTGGTGTTTAAGCTCGGCCCTGAAAAACCAGTGGCGTTTTGCCAGTCAGAGAACGATAGCAGCTAAACATTAATAGCAGCCACCTTACTGAGCACTGACCGTGTGTCAGAAACTGCTCAGTAGGATCACATAAGCCGGCGCGGTGGGTACCTTATTATCTGGCATTTGTATATGAAGAAATAAAGGCACAGAGAGGTTAAGCGACTTGCTCAGGGTCACCCAGCTAGTAAATGGCAGGTCCTGAGTTTGAATCCATGTGCTCTGGCCCTGGTCTCATACTCCAGAGGACGGGGTGCTCTCGGGCAGGAGGGGGGGCCATGTGCATGAAGGAGGATGGTGTGCTGGAGAAACAGGGTGGAGACTGGGTATGGGGGCTGCTTGGGCCCCACTTGCGAAAGGCTACGGTGCCCGGGAAGTCTTTTTTTTTTTTAAGATTTTATTTATTTATTTGAGAGGGGAGAGGGGGGAGGAGCAGAGGGAAAGGGACAAGCAGACTCCATGCTGAGCAGGGAGCCCTACACGGGGCTCGATCCCACAACCCTGAGATTATGACTTGAGCCGAAACCAAGAGTTGGATGCTTAACCAACTGAGCCACCCAGGCGCCCCAGGAAGTCATTTTTAAACTGTCGAAGTAGAGAGAAGACTCTGATAGTATAATGTATCTGTTTTGTCTCTTCAGCAGTTATTAACACAGTTGCATTTCACTCCTAACTCTCCCTTCTCTACGTTCTGAATTATTTGGAAGCAAATCCCGGACCTGTCATTTCATCTGTAAGCATTTCAGTGTGTATCTCTAAAAAGTAAGGGCTTTTTGTTAGAAATCCTGTACCATTATCATATCTAAAACATGTAACAATCATTCCATAACATCAGGTATCCAGTGTGTTCAAATTTTGTCTTACAGTTTTTGTTTGTTTGTTTTTACAGTTGGTTTGTTTGAATCAAAATCCAAACAAGACTCTCCCAAAGCATTTGGTTGACCTGTCGATAATTTTCTCTTCTTGTATAAGCCCCTCCTTCCTAGTTTTCCCTTAACAGTTTCTGTGTTTGGAAACGTTCAAATAAGATGATTGCTATATTTTTAACTTGCATTTTAGAACGATCTCTTGGAGCTCACATGAGCAACTGATTTCTTTCCCCACCCCCCTTCCCAAGGGAGAACTAGAGGCTGGGGAAGTAGTTCTGAGCTTTATTGTAGGATTCTAGAGAATCCCGGGGTCTTGTTGGTTATGTTCCAAGCCTGCTAATGTACCGTCAGCATTAGGCCATCTTTCCGTGCCCATTGTCCCCATTCTGTTCCTGTCTCATCTGAACCCCGACTCGGCCCTTAAGGCTTTGCCTGCCACTCGGGTGTGGCATGTGCCCACCTATGAAGGCTCCATCCTTAAATAGAGCTTGGAGCCCCTCTTGAGGTCCAGCCTCACCTGCCAGGCCCCGTTGAGCCCTGCCTTGCCAGGAGGTCTTCCCACAGAAGGGAGAGCCTGGCTCCGTGGGCACGCACAGCAGGTGCCATCTGGGCAGACAAGCCCGGCTAGACGGGGACCTGTGGGGGCAAGCGATGGTGCCGCCGTGTGTGGTCATGAGAGACTCGATGTTATGGACAGTCTCTTGTGCTGTAGGACATCGAAGGAACCGTGTCTCTCGACTCGATGTTTGTGCCTGGGAGTCTGAGGATTCGGGCTGCATCCCATGCTCTCTGTCTTCTCAAGAGATTATCAACTCCCCAGTCCTGAGGCAGATTTCCAAAGAGAATGGCTCATTTTATGCATCCTTGTGAAAACTTTTATTGCCTTGCAGACAATGTCGTGAAAAATTAGAATTACCTCATGTGTTCAGCTGGGGTGATTTCAGCCATTTCCCCGGTCTCCTGGGACTGGTTGGGAAGCCGTCCTGCGGTTTTCTTGATCAGCCCCTTCCATGGTCCCAGATCACCTCTCCGAAGAGCAGTCTATTCTCCTGGCCAGAAATTGTTGCCAAAGCAGGAGAACGCTTTGCTTGCTGCCTCCCTAAATATTTGCTGGACCCAGTTCCCCCTTCTGAACCACAAGGAGGGGTTCCTGATGGTCTGTGTTTCCCAGCCCTGCGTCTGAAAGGGAGCTGAGGTTCCACAGCCCACGTTACTCATGGAACCAGGGCCTGACATCCGTGTAGCTGCTTCTGGATGCCCACGCTGGCCTTGGCATGGCGCTCCTGGCATCCCACAGCCTTGCAGTCATTCTTGCCCACCCATCTTTTCAACACTTGGTGTTGGAAGATTTCTCGGGGCCTCATTCTTTGATGGCAGTTGAGCTGTGCATATCTTAAGGCATCCAGGTTGGAGACAAAGGCATAAATAAAAAACAGTAGGTTATTATTTCAAAGAATATGCAGAAATCCTAAAGTGTTCACATGGATCGTTACGTTGTTTCTCCTGCCTTCCCTCCCGATATTTACTGACTGTCTACCATGTGCTGGACGCTAGTCTGTGCACATAAACGTACATGTACACACACAGCCCGCACCTACGTGCACTCACACCATGATGCCGGTGCTTTGGGGCACAGGGATAGTTATGGGGGAAAAAGACGTGAATTTCGATAAACACAAAAGAAGAAGTTACCATGGTCTTCTGAGCAGTATAAAGAGCATTAGGAGGGCGCCTGGGTGGCTCAGATGGTTAAGCGTCTGCCTTCGGCTCAGGTCATGATCCCAGGGTCCTGGGATCGAGTCCCACATCGGGCTCCCGGCTC